TCTCTCCTTTTATCGCTCATACCGAGGGCAGGACTGTATGGCGTGGTTCGCTGATGAGCTCAACCAGTTGGCTGAGGATATGTCTACGGTGTTCTTATGTCCATACAACATCGACATGACTGCTGAGCAGGAAGCAGAATTCAGAAAAGCAACATACTGCCACATTTGTGAACAACCATTTGGACGTGATGATAAGAAAGTTCGTGACCATACGCATCTCATTCCGGAAAAAAATTATAGAGGTCCAGCGCATGAAAGCTGTAATATTCGGTACCAGGACAGCCATGTGGTGCCTGTTGTGTTCCACAATCTGAGCGGCTATGATGCAAATTTCATCATTGAGGATATAGCATCTAAAATGAAGGGTCGAGTTGATTTGTTGCCAATCACCAAAGAAAAATATATCTCCTTCACCAAATTCAATGAAGGTTCACGAATAGGCTTCCGCTTCATCGATAGCTTTCGATTTATGAATTCTTCTCTGGATATGTTGGCATCATATCTAGAGGAATTTCCGAACTTGAGGTCTCAATTTTCTACCATCACCGAAGATCAGCTCCAGCTTCTAACTAAGAAAGGTGTGATGCCGTATGACTACATCGACTCGTTTCAACGCTTCAGCGAGACGCAGCTACCACCAATTGATGCTTTTTTCAACAAACTGAATGAAAAACCCTGTCCACGCAGACATTATCTGAGAGCCAAGCTTGTGTGGTCGAAATTCGGTTGTGAAGATCTGGGGCAGTACGTGGATCTATACATGAAGACCGATATCATGCTGTTGGCCGATGTTTTCGAGCAGTTTCGATCCAGCTGTCACACCACCTATGGTCTGGATCCAGCCCATTATTTCACGTTGCCAGGGTTCACGTGGGATGCTATGCTGAAGCATACAAAGCAGGAATTGGAGCTTCTCACCGATCCTGACATGTTTCTATTTATCGAAAAAGGAATTCGAGGAGGCCTCAGTCAAATTTGTTCGAGGAGACGAGCTCATGCCAACAATAAATACATGCCTTCGTATGATCCAACAAAGCCCGACTCATATCTGATGTATTATGATGTCAACAATCAATATGGGTGGGCTATGTCTCAGGCATTGCCATATGGAGGATTTCAATGGACGGACACTAATCTCGATGTTACAACCGTTGCTGATGATGCAGATGAAGGGTATATATTGGAAGTTAACCTTGAATACCCACAACGCCTTCATGATGTTCATAAAGATATTCCTTTTTGTCCGCAACATATCAACCCGAAAACGATGAAACCTCCAACGAGGTCTACTCAACCCACCAAGCTGATGGCAACGCTGAATAATAAGCAGAAGTACGTCATCCACTACCGAGCACTCAAACAAGCGCTGGAGCATGGGTTGGTCCTGACCAAAATTCATCGCGTTCTCAAGTTCCGCCAATCTATATGGCTCAAATCATATATTGATCTGAACACCAACCTCCGTAAGCAAGCAAAGAATGAGTTTGAAAAAAACCTATTCAAACTCATGAACAATGCTGTTTTCGGAAAAACAATGGAAAACGTAAGAAAGAGGGTGAACGTGCGACTATTGACAGAGTGGGCCGGAAGATATGGAGCAGAGGCTTTCATTTCCAAACCCGAATTCAAGAACTGTACTATATTCAACGAGAACTTGGTTGCAGTTGAGCTCGGGAAATTGGAAATCTTCCTAAACAAGCCTATCTATGTCGGTCAAGTGATTCTCGATTTAGCTAAGACTACCCTTTATGACTTCCACTACGATTATATGGCTCACACATTCCATGATTGCTCAGTTCTCTACACCGATACTGATAGCCTAATTTACGAGATTGCCGATCAAGATCCGTATGAAGTTATGAAGCGAGATTGTTTTCAACGATTCGATACCTCCGACTATCCTATGAATAATCAATTCGGAATACCGCAAGTTAATAAAAAGGTGCTGGGAATGTTATCAGATGAGAACAAGAGTCGAATAATGACGGATTATGTAGGTCTACGATCCAAATTATACTCGATAAAGGTGCTGGTAACTGATGATGATATTGAAAAGAAGAGGAAGAAGTTACAAGATGACGATTATGATGAAGACGAAATCAATGAAATCATTAAGAATATGGGTATCACGAGAAAAGCAAAAGGTGTAAAATCGTCTGTTATCAAAACAACTATAAATTTCGAGGATTACGTCGAATGTCTGGAAACAGCAAAACATAAAAAGGTTTCCCAAAATCTAATAAGAGCGAAGAAGCATCAGGTCCATTCAATCACTCAAGAAAAAATTGCCCTCAGTTCCGAAGATGACAAGAGATATATGGTGCTAGGATCATACGAAACTCTTCCATGGGGTCATTATTCCATAAAAGGTGAAGCTATGGAGATAGATAGTTGAGGACCTCACATCATTAATTTTTCAAATAGAATGTGATGAATGATTAGGTTAGCAATCAGAAAGAGGATGCCACAAGCAAAAAAGAGCCATCAGACGAATTATTGAAGTGTTCCTATTAATTTAGGAATGAATCTTCGTGCTGTCTAGAGAAAGAGCCATCAGACGAATTAATGAAGTGTTCCTTTTAATTTAGGAATGAATCTTCGTGCTGTCTGGAGAAAGAGCCATCAGACGAATTAATGAAGTGTTTCTATTAATTTAGGAATGAATCTTCGTGCTGTCTGGAGAAAGGGCCATCAGACGAATTAATGAAGTGTTTTTATTAATTTAGGAATAGATCTTCGTGCAGTCTGAAAAAAAAATGCTATTGTTTGATAACCTAATTATTTATTACCACAAGTGGTCAGAGTAGGCCTACCGAGGAGCTTCCCACTTTCAAAAAAAAGAAGCAACGCGCCAAAACGCACTACCTCGAGGGTGGTGGGGAAATGTGCTGTTATTTGTATAGATCATCGAATATATTAAAGAATTGACTACATTGAGTTTGATTTCAATCCTTTGGTGAAACTCAGAGATGTTTTACGAGTTTTGGTTACGAGTTATTCGATATTTGTCTAATATTTCATAAAAACATATCATGAGCAAAACATGATAACACTTTTGACTGACCTAAATTCAAGCATAGACTTTTCATTTGATATACAACAACCTATAGACATAATATTTACTGAATGGCACTTCACGAAAAATCCAAGCAAAGACCTTCCATTTGATGTACAACAACATATAGTTGACATAATATTTACTATATGGCCCTTGAAGCCCTTCAAGAATTGATTTTTGTTAATTTCTAGCAGAGACCTTTGTATTGATAAATAACAAACTAAAGTTGACATAATATTCACTATATGGCCCTTGAAGCCCTTCAAAAATTGATTTTCGTAAAATTCAAGCAGATACCTTTCATTTGATAGGTAACAAGCTATAGTTGACATAATATTCATTATATATGGCCCTTGAGGCCCTTCAAAAATGGATTCTCGTGAAATTTAAGCAGAGACCTTTCATTTGATAAGTAAAAAGCTATAGTTGATATAATATCCACTACATGGCCCTTGAGGCCCTTCAAAAGTTGATTTTCGTAAATTTCAAGCAGAGACCTTTCATTTGATATACAACAACCTATAGTTGGCATAATATTCACTATATGGCCCTTGGGGACCCTTCAAAAATTAATTTTCGTAAAATTTAAGCAGAGACCTTTCATTTGATATACAACAACCTATAGTTGGCATAATATTCACTATATGGCCCTTGAGGCCCTTCAAAAATTAATTTTCGTAAATTTCAAGCAGAGACCTTTCATTTGATATACAACAACCTATAGTTGGCATAATATTCACTATATGGCCCTTGATGACCTTCAAAAGTTGATTTTCGTAAATTTCAAGCAGAGACCTTTCATTTGATATACAACAACCTATAGTTGGCATAATATTCACTATATGGCCCTTGATGACCTTCAAAAATTAATTTTCGTAAATTTCAAGCAGAGACCTTTCATTTGATATACAACAACCTATAGTTGGCATAATATTCACTATATGGCCCTTGATGACCTTCAAAAATTAATTTTCGTAAATTTCAAGCAGAGACCTTTTATTTGATATACAACAACCTATAGTTGGCATAATATTCACTATATGGCCCTTGAGACCCTTCAAAAGTTGATTTTCGTAAATTTCAAGCAGAGACCTTTCATTTGATATACAACAACCTATAGTTGGCATAATATTCACTATATGGCCCTTGAGGCCCTTCAAAAGTTGATTTTCGTACATAATATTCACTATCTGGCCCTAGTTGAGGTTAGGGCCCATCGAACAATCCTATTTGAGAGCGTTCAGAGGTCTGCAGCACCAGAATCGCCGTTCCCACTCGTCGGAGACGGATGACCTTGAAAGCGTAAAAAATGACCAGAATGGACCTTAACTTTTCTTATGGCGATTAACATGGGAAAAGTGGTCGAAATGCGGCCGTTCTCTCCTAGCTCCTTTACTTGTTTAGTTGATGAGCTAAAGATCCCGTGTTCAATTCCTACTCGACCTACGTTCTTTTTCTGTTTTGGAAGTTGCGTTTTATCTGTTCCATTCTGGTAAAGGTGGTGTGAACAGAATGACGTTTGCAAATAAAACGACAATCTTCATGATCTAACATGAGATAATGGATGATAGAGGTTAAATTTATAATATTGGGGCGCCGAATAATTTCAAAATCATAATACTAGAGTTGAAGATCAAGAAAATAAATCAACGCATATCTGGAGCAGTGCTTGTGGTGATTGGAGAAAGAATTCATTTTATCTGGGAATGAAGATTTGAAACCGGTCTTCTAATCGTCTCCTACTTCCAAAAAGTTTCGTTTTTAATCAATCTAATTTTATTTTTTGACACATCATTCCTTGTGGTGAGCTGGAATGAAAAGTACCAATCAGAATCGGAAAAGTTGCAAATAAAACGACATATTATTATTATTATTATTATTATTATATTGAAATGATTCCGGTGGCGGAATCGGAAAAAATAAAATACAGCGTTCCTCTTACCCATCGCCAGCAGGGCGACCATCTTGACGACGATCTCGGGCGGCTCGCACTCGGTGACGAACGCCTCGACGGCGTACTTGCCGAAGCTCAGACAGATGATGGCCATCTGGGAGGGCTTGAGCACTAGGGTGCTGGCCCAGGAGAAGAGGAAGGCGGGCGGGGCGCCGAACGCGTCCATGAAGTAGGCGTACTCCGCCCCCGACGAGGGGTTCATCGTGCCCAGCTCGGCGTACGACAAAGCGCCTGGGGAAAATTCGAAAAAAAAAAAAATTTTAGCGATCGATTGTCCGCATTTCGAAAATAGACATTTTAGTGATTTCAACCAATACCCAGGCAACCAGATGACGTTTCAGTGACGTTTTTTTACGTCAGTTAAATGACCAATAAATAACTCACAGCCCAGCCCAATGACGTCATATCACTCACGTTTATTGACGTCATTCACTCACCAAACTGTGACGTCGTACTAACGTCGAAATGACGTCAAAATGACGTTGAAATTTGGTGATGACAGGTTATAAAGTTTCCTCGAACATGGTGTTATAATCACCACTGACCTCTGATGATGACATATAATATTGATTATATGCATTGTTGAGTCTGATTTGGTGGTTCCTTCGGTGTCATGTCCATACAATCGTCTATTCAGCAGCGCTATCCCTCAGTACGCATCTCCTTCAGAATGTAATAAGTTACTCGTATTTGTATCAAAAATTATGTAGTTAGTGTCGGCGAGATATAAGCAAGCCAAGAATAGTTTGATAACAATGAAAAGGGTGTTGGCGGATTCAGCTTCACTTTGTTGATTAACGTACATTCATGCATCATTTGTCACCCAACATAAATCTGAATAGCAAATTATTGAAAAATTTTCTGAATGAAGAAGCTCACCAAATTGGTACGTCACACAGATGTGATCTTTAGACGTCATAGATACGTCACTGTAACGTCGTAAAAGTGACGGTTTCAATATAGGTAAACCTATATTATCATTTGTTTTTATACATACATAGCTTGATTGGTTTCCAAGTTTAGAAAAGCTTTCTTTTATTTTTTGAGTATATAAAATTCCAAATAAAACTTATATATTGTCAATGAGTTATACTTCTATCGATGTTAAAATCATATATATAAAATTACCAAGTCGGACATGTTTCTATATATGTTTAAAACTGATAAAAAAACTATTTTTTTAAAACTTTTCGACATTGCAGATGTCCATTTTGTATATACAGGTACATCACAAACCTAACGATTTCACATGATAGTGCAAATTAACATGGTTTAGATATGGTCTGGGAAACATGGACATCGACAGGACGTCCCTGCAACGTCATGAAACTGACGTCTGATTTTACCCTTCTAAGTGACGTTCACTCGACGTCGAGATGATGACGTAATCATCTACCAAGATTTTTATAGATACAGTGACAACCAACGATGTGATTCTTCCCGGACTAGTGCGGAAAAATGCTACTTTCTCAAAGAAGAAGCGTCCGAGAAGTAAGCACTTCCAGGACGTTTGCTCTAATTGACGTTAAAAAAATTAAATTATTGGCACCATTTCGTAGTGTTTCACAGAGGAATTTCCGAAACGAACGTATACATTACTAGAATAACTTTATTTCCCAATAAATTCGAATCATTCAGAAAAAAATGCACGTGCTCATTATCCATTGACGTAGTATCAACAGGTGAATCACGTAACTATTCCTATCGAAATCTCAAAGCTCAACAGTCCATTAATCTTGTGTTCTATTTATTGCATCAATGTTTTCTTTTTTCATTTTCCAACCTGATCTGAATGCGTCAACGTATCATGTGCTTCAGAGAGTTTGGAGAGTTAGATTACCTTTTCAGATTCCAAATATTCTGATAAAAATGCCAAATTAAAAGAAACGTTTATTGGAATTCTGCATTAGTAGGTAGGTACCTAAATTCGATTCTAATTTTCATACATTCTTTCTATTTTTATCAGATAAGATAATATTATAAATATCAATGGCTTCGTCAGTTATGATGTCAATTTAAAATGCCTGATAAAGAAAATCGATTATTTTTTTTAGGAGCATTACATAAACAATGCCACATAATTCTCACTTTTGAAATACAGAGTAATGAGAGTGTCCCCAGAATTATATCATAAGTTTATACTTTTTTCTGACGATAGATTATTTTCACAGCCATGTTTTCAAGAAATATAAATATTTACCTAATAAGGATAACAATCCACATGCCATCCATATCACAAAACTCATCCCGATTGATCCTGTCCTTTCGAGAAGTCCAGACGGGGAAACGAAAATTCCGGATCCTGAAAAGGCGTAAAAAAAAACTTGTATAAAAAATGCCAGCTTCGTTTCATGAAAATATCTAGAACAGTATTGGAGTTTGGATGAGAAAACGATTTTTTTCTTGAAATTTCAACACCATATACAGGGTGTCCCAAAATTGCTGGGACTCAGAGCTACCACGTGTGACTCAGTTCAAAATAAGTTGATTGGACCTAACTCATTTATATAAAAAAATGAACCGTTTGTCCGTGAGACGAGTTCAAAGTTTACATAAAAAAACACATTTTTGTACGCTGTTCGAAAATGAGTGAAACAAATTGGATGAAATTTGACAGTAGTGAATTTTAGAGGATAACTCTTCTCTCAGTTATCGAAGAATCCCGAAAGATATTGTAGAAGGGTTGAAACCACCCTCACCCCCTGACATTTTTTTCAGAACATTCTTAGGAGTGGTAATAGAGTTCTCAATGTTTTCAAGCGAGATGATGCCAACAGATATTTCTAGTAAAAGTTTTATATTAATACAGGGTGTCCCGAAATCACTTTGCCAAACTCAATAATAGGAAAAAAAGTTCCAATGAACATGAGACGAGGAATGTCTCCTGAGGAAGCTATGGCCCCCTGAAAGGGGAAGATGATATTTCTCCCTTAGGAGACATTTCTTGACTCATGTTCACTGGAACTTTTCTCCCTATTATTGATCGTAGAAGCCACTGTTGAAGTTTGGCAGGCTAATTTCGGGAAACCGTGTATTGATATCAAACTTTTACCAGGAATATCTATTAGCATTATTTAAGAAAACATTTTTTTCCTCTGGAACTATGCGGAATACGAAATTTTCACAAGGTAACAAAATGAAGATAATTAATCAGTCATCTCGTTTAAAAAAATTGAGAACCCTATCACCACTCCTAAGAAAGTTCTGGAAAAAATGTCAGGGGGTGAGGGTAGTTTCAACCCTTCTACAATATCTTTTGGGAATTCTTCGATAACTGAAAAAAGTGTTATCCTCTAAAATGCACTACTGTCAAATTGCATCCAATTTGTTTCACTCATTTTCGAACAGCGTACAAAAATGTTTTTTTTATATAAACTTTGAACTCGTCTCACGGACAAACGGTACATTTTTTTATATAAATGAGGTGGGTCCAATCAACTTATTTTGAACTGAATTACACTCGGTAGCTTTGTGTCCTAGCAATTTAGGGACACCCTGTATATATAGCTCAAGAGTTAACAAGTTTACGGCACATGTTAATACTATGAACTTTTTTCTCAAAATATAAGCTTAGGAATTTTAATATTTTTTTCTGTGACGGGAAAAAAGTTCTCTGTTGGCAGGTTATAAAATGTCACTTTTCATAAATTAGTGAGTACTTTTTTCCTGGATATACAGGGTCGCTGATATGTATGGAAACAGGTGAATATCTCGGTAACCTGTTGTTGGATTTTTTTGAATTTATGTACTGTGTGATTTCAAAACGTGGCAGATTTGAAAATGTTATAGCCAATGTTGCCACTTTTTCAGTTATACCGGATTTTTTGTTAACTTCCTTATTATGAATAGAAAACCATGTAGTTTATTGGATTTTCAGATTCTCCCTGAAGAGCTTATTCCATCGATCTATCACACTTGGGGTCTAGCAGGACTGAATACATAGGTATAGGGTGTTTAAAATCTAGATTTTTCAACTTTAGTATTTTTTTGTGTCGAAACTATTTATTATCGATCAAAACCGCTCCAATGTTACCATCTTTACTTCTGATTCACTATCTACTGACATTTAATTGAAACAAATACAGGGTGGTTCAAGATTCAGAATTCTGATCACCCTCTGTATCTGTTCCAATTAAATAGTCAGTAGATGGTAAATCAAAAGTGAAGATAGGAACATTGAAGCGATTTTGATCGATAATGGATAGTTTCTACACAAAAAAATCTTGAAGTTGAAAAACCTAGATTTTAAACACCCTATACCTATGTAATCATTCCCGCTCGACCCCAAGTGTGATAGATCGATGGAATCAGCTCTTCAAGGAGAATCTGGAAATCCAATAAAGTACAGGGTGTTCCATTCAAAATAAGGAAGTTACTAAAAATCCGGAATAACTGAGAAAGTGGCAACAGAGGCTATAACATTTTCAAATCCGCCACGTTTTGAAATCACACTGTACATAAATTCAAAAAAATCTAACAACAGATTGCCGAGATATTCACCTGTTTCCATACATATCAGCGACCCTGTATATCACATATATAAACACTGTTGATGGCTTTTGTTGTGCTATAGTTCCGAAAAATGAGTCATTAATACCGTCTCCGAGAAAGAACTGCAAGTCCTTTTATCTTCCATTCGACTTTGCGGCTACGTGTATTACTAAACAACCTCTAAATTCGCAATTTTTTGAAATCAAATCACAGAATTAGACTGACAGAAGTGACATCAGATATTTGATTACTTCGAAAGAATGATGAAGATGCCTACAACGCAAGTGTCCCTACTGTTAAAAACTCAAAATTTCACGTCGATAATTTTCAGATTTCAAAATAATATAATATCTTCTCAATATTGTTTCGTCCTTTCTTCTGTCACAGAAAAAAATAGTGTATTATTCACGGGAAAAATATCAGATTTTAGCTCACGGTTTTTTGTCTCCCTCCGCTACGCGTCGGGACACAACACAACTTGGAGCTAAAATCTACAACTTTTTTGCCTTGTATAAAAAATAACTATTTTTCTGTGACGGGAAAAAAGTTTGGCATTTCATCTCTGTTGGCAGGTTATAAAATGTCACTTTTCATAAATTACTTTTTTCCCGTGGGAAAAAAGTGAGTACTTTTTTCCCGGATATATATCACATATATATACTCTGTTAATGGCTTTTGTTGTGCTATAGTTCCGAAAAATGAGTCAATAATACCGTCTCCGAGAAAGAACTGCAAGTCCTTTTATCATCCATTCGACTTCGCGGTTTCGTATATTACTAAACAACTACTGAATTCGCAATTTTTCAAAATCAAATCACAGAATTGAACTGACAGAAAGTGACATCAGATATTTGATTACTTCAAAAGAATGATAAAGATGTCTATAAAACGCAGGTGTCCCTACTGTTAAAAACTTGAAATTTCACGTCGATAATTTTCAGATTTCGAAATAATGTAATATCTTCTCAATATTGATTCGTCCTTCCTTCTGTCACAGAAAAAAATAGTGCATTATACACGGGAAAAATATTAGATTTTAGCTCGCGGTTTTTTGTCTCCCTCCGCTACGCGTCGGGAGACAACACAACTTGGAGCTAAAATCTACTACTTTTTTGCCTTGTATAAAAAATAACTATTTCTCACGGCTTTTTGTCAACACCACATACATTTCCATGGAGATTCAACAAAAATCGACCAAAACTTAATTGGCTGCTGTTCAGCTTTGAATAGTTGTCACAACTGTCAGAAGACGTTTTTTTAATTCTTTAGGGTAGTTCTCATTAGTGCTTTTGATAGAAATCGCATTTTCCATCAAATATTATTCCAACCATTCATAATAAATAATATGATGTATATACCCAGATGTGACGATTTTGATAAATACACCGTCAGAGACAGAGGCAATGGAAAAAGCTGCGAAAGATGAATTGGTTTACGGAAATTTCACGAAAAACCTATGAATTGACATAATGTACAAAAAATGTATGGAATTTAAAAAAAATACAGAAATGAAATCTTTTTCGTAAACTATACTTTTTTGAAATACTTTGAGGAACTAGGAAAGGCGTCTACTCTTTGGTCACAATATTCAATGTGGCATAGTGCCACATTATGAAATGAATACCAATAATTCACATTACATGATGGATTCTTTGAATAAGTGCAGTTGTAGAAAAAGTATAGTGTGCAACATGTGGGGAAAAGTACTTTTCTCAATCGTATGTTTGCATCACTCGCCCTTCAGGCTCGTGCCACAAACTTTCACAACCTGGAGCTAAAATCTACTACTTTTTTCCCTTGAATAAATAACTATTTTGGTTCTCAATTGAATTACCCCCTGTATACTGACCTATCATCGTTCCGACAATTAGAGCCACCCCACTGACGAGTCCCACCCGTCTCTTGAGGTGAATAGCGTCATCCGCAATTGAGCCCGTCCCCTCCAGCTGGTCCGGCCCTGCTGCTGCAGCTGCGCCGTCAGCCGCCCCCCGCTGCCCGCCACCCCCGTCCTGCCCCCCTTCGTCGCCCCCGCCCCCGGGGCAGCCGTTTCGAAGGCCGCCCCCGACGGCGGTGGGGTCGTCGTTGAGGGTGCGCCGAGAGCCGCGCCACTGAATCTGGCCCTCTTTAGGGGACGCATTGTTATTTCCTGGAAAAGAAAGAGGAAGCGATTTGAGGAATTTCATAAATTTTATGAAGGTTCATAAATTTATGAAGGTTCATAAATCGTAAGAAGGTTCGTGCATTTTATGAAGGTTCAACAATGTTATAAAGGTTCATAAAGGGTATTAAAGTTCATAAATTTTATGAAGGTTAAAATTTTATGGAGGGCATAAATTTTATAAAGGTTCATAAATGTTATGAAGTATCAAAAATGTTATGAAGGTTCATAAATGTTATGGATGTTCGCCTTGCTGCTGCAGCTGCGCCGTCAGCAGACCACGCCGCCCCCGCCCCCTGAGCAGCCGATGACGGCGATGGGATCGTCGTTGAGGGTGCACCGGGAGCCTCGTCACTGGATCTTTCCCTCTTTAGGGAACGCATTTTTATTTAAAGAAAAGAGGAAGAGATTTAAGGAGTTTCATAAATTTTATGAGGGTTTATAAAATTTATGAGGGTTCATGAATTTCAAATAAGGGTTCATGAATGAGGGGTGCCAATGCATAAACCAGTCATGTATTTTTCGTGAAATTAATTAAGGTCATGTCTAAATCGTTCAGTGCATGAAAGAGCTCCGTAGGATCATCGATGTGGAAACTAGAGTATTTAAATTGGTTGTCTATATTTTCACACTTTGTATAAACCGGTCAAGTCCTGGTCTTGACTGGTTTTTGCATAGTATCTTCAGCATTGCTTATGATTGGCAACATAATATGTGGTTGTCAACAAAAAGTTTATCAAGGTTTATGAATTCAAAATAATGGAATTACATGAAGGTTTTTCAATTCGTGAATAAATCTTCCTCTAAATAGATGAAAATGAATTTAAAGAATTTTACGAAATCACATAAATTTCACGGTTCATACAATAACGGTTTATCAAGGTTTATGACTTCGAGATAATCAAATTATATGAAAGTTTTTCAATTCGTGAATGAATTTTCATCTCATTGAGTGAATGAATTCAAGAAGATTAACGAAATTTCCTAAATGTTAAATCAAAATGATGAAAATATATGAGGGTTTTTCAATTCGTGATTGAATCTTCATATCAATGGGTTGATGAATTTGAAGAAATTTACAAAATTTCATAAATTTTATGAAGGCTTTCACAGTAAAACTAGTTGATAGAAGTTAATGAATACATAATAACGTGAAAATGATAGGGGTACTTTCATTTCATTTCATTAATTCTTGTGCATTGAGGAATATGACTTATTTAGTTCCTGACTACATAAACAGACTGAAAATTAGAAAGTTCCATTGATTCATGAATAAATTCAACTCTCTTCAGTATGGACGAAGTGTTATTATTTCCTGAGAGAAAAATAAAGAAAAGTATCGAATTTTCCATGCTTCACAAGATGTTATAAATTTTATGAATCTTTATACAATAATGGAGCTTTATTAAGGTTTATGAATACGATATATTATAATATGGAAATTAAAAAAGGTTCATTTTAATCATTCATGGAGATTTATATGTATTGTTATTATTAATATCATCAATTAACAACCTATCACGATGATTCAAGAACATTCATCATTCTTATATGTGTAGTGAAGATTTTTAATGAAAATGTATACAGTGATGTCTGTTTCTGAAGTTCTGATATTAGAATTTATGAAGGTTTCTGAATTCAAAGTAGAAAATTATTCATATTGATTGATTCGTGAAAAATGAACTCAATTTAGGTGACTCATTGTTAATGAAGCAAATGAAAGTAGGCACCTCTACTTCAGGTACCTACATACATATGAAAAAGTATTTTTTATATCGCTTGGAGCGCACGAAAGGAAATCCCTATAAACTCTCTTATGAATTCATGAATGAATGAAAACAAGTTTTTTACGGGAATGCTGAGTGAGTTGGTAAGTAGTTCATAATAGTCTAAAAACCATTAACCAATATGAAGATTTATTGATTGAATAACTTTTTTCCCTATTATCAACAGTCCACCATAATCCGTACCTATTGATATTGTGAGTAATCAAATTTTCATTATAGTAATAATACTTCAAATAATGTTTTGCCATTATTGTTGACTCGTTAAAAATATTATTTGCTTACCACAACGGGTCACATTGTTTTTATTGGCAGTTTGCATTATGACCGATTTGATAACCGACAGTAAATACCGGGAAAAATAACCATCCTATGGCACTGATGAAAATTGGAATATGAACGTTTGAAAGCTAGAACCGGTATGAAACAAAATTTAAATCATCCAGAGATACGTGAAAATCTTGGAATTTCCACTGGTGCAATATTAGACAATCGTAGACATCAATACTTACTATCATTTGTTGTTATATTACCAGAATATGGTATGGATGAAAAACCTAGTCAATAGGTATAATATATTGAATAGGTATTTTCATCCTGAGTAGATATTGGTTATAGCATTAGAAAAATATGGAAAAACAGATTGAGGGTACCTAAATACTTTCAAATTTTCACTTCTGAACCTATATGCTTTGCTAAGACCAAAAAAATTAACAGATCAAAATCGGATCATCCATCAAATTTGAAAATTTCACCAAAACAACAAAGGTACACGGCTAACCCCTTTTTTGAATTAGAAAAAATGGTTTTTGATTATCGTTTTTCATCTATTTTGTGGAGAAGAATAATGAGCATTAGAAGAAACTGCGAAAAGCACAAGGAAAGCACTTTGATTATTTTTTTCCTGAATGAAACTATTCGGATCATACTTCAGAATAATATGCACCTATTTTGAAATATTTGCAAAACTGCTTCGTTGAATATTACGGCAGGGAAACAATAATATTTTGGATTCTCATTTCTTCAGTTTCAGAACCGCATTCTATGATGAAAAATAATAGAAACAGAAAAATACGGAATAGTTTAAGAGATTTTAATTTTTGTTTTCCATGACTCCCTATTCTCTGAGGTAAAAAAGCCATATTTGACGGGCAAAGAGGTATTTTTTTCAGAGCTTGAGTTCATTCGACAAATACTAGACAATTTTAACAAATTCGGACCTACGCGAGGCACATTGCCAGTGCTTTCTAGCTATTTTTAAACACCTCAACAATTTTCACCTAAGACCGAGATGCCTCTAATTACAGGGTTCTTCATTGAACCGTGTCTTTTTTGTAACTTCCTTTCACTTTTAGTCCATATCGTGTAATTTTTATACGAGATTTTCCGAGTTTGTGAAGAAAAATCGAGAGAAATCTGAGAATAATTAATTAGTGTTATCAAATCACGTCATATAATATTGACACTGCCGGCAAAGATGCAGGTTACATGAGATGAAAAACAGCGATATATCAGTATATTTCCCTGCTAGATCTCATAACTAAGAGATTCAGAGGATGAACAGAGAGAACTTTGAATCGCCTTGTATTTATGCGTAGAAAAAATGAAGAGGAATTTTATTTTCAGTCTGTAGTTATTATTGAATGATAAATCATTGTTATGACAGACAATAAAAACTTGAAAATATCGAGAAAATGCATAATTGCATTTTGCATTACGTGCCACAATTCTTGCCAAGAAATTCATGTCATGCAGATTCTTTTGAGTGGTTGCAAAATTCCATGAAATTCAATTTAATTATTCATTCGCTATAGTACAACGAATGTTTGAGGGTTATAATTTGATGTTCCAATAAGGAACATAACTAAATATATAGGTTATCTTTTATCCTTTTATTCACCGTTACACAGGGTGTTTCAGATTTCAATCGTGAAAAGGCGATCGTACTCGCAAAAATGTTGGAAAACTTCAAATAAACTTGTTTTAATATTATCGTCCTGTATAAGATCTTATAATAACAAAATTCTGTGTAGTTGGTGACTGACGAATGCTCAAAATCTCCAAATTATACTTATTATGCATGTTCTGAATAAACCTATATATACATTAGAATTTGGATTCATATTGAATTGAAAAAAAAAACACAATGAAGCATAATGATGTTTACCATAAATATCACTCACTGGAATGGTAACGGCGAATCTAGATTCGCCAAATGATACATTTCCATATAATGAACAAACCTGCTCAATTTAACGAAAATTAGCTAATGAGTTTCTGAGCTGTGATCAAAAAACTTTTTTTTTTCAAAAAGAATTTTGATATGCTTGCTCGATTTTGAGTATGTAAGTGGACTAGCTGGCACTGGCACCAGTGGCACCTGAATAAGACAAATGATATTCATTCATTATTTTATTTTTCATTGTCTCGGTAGCCAGTAGCCATGGCATGACTCATTCAGAAACGGATATTTTTGTTTGTAATTTTCGCAATACTCTCGCATGGATATTCCTATATTTTTGGTATTTTGAGAACCTTCGTATATTTCTTGTATAATAAAGCACAAGCACTATGCAATATCATAACTCTCACGTTGAAATTTTTCTTAAATTCTCTGTACGAATCTTGTGTCATAATAATTGTAATAAACAAGATTTCAGTGAACTAGGTTGAGATCTTAACTCACCCAATTCTATTAAATAAATCTTTCATAAATTGTTTTGTTTTCGCAATCACGAAGCACATCACCGAAATAGATGTGTTGTCCCTTGTTTCGGCTCTATGGATATTATAAATAAAACTGTTCAAGACGCAAATCAACTGAAAATCTAGCAGACTTTGATCACGTAGGTACTATGGAAAACCAATTTTTGCGAAAACATCTTGGAAATAAACGAATTAATTAGCGGATGGACGTGAAGTGAATCCGAATGAGACAACTATTCGTTTCCTTTGATAAATAGACTCAGTTAGGCCTAATTTCTTCCTTAATTTTCCTACCGTATCCTAACATATCTAGGATTTTTGTCAAAACAAGTTGACTCCAAAAAGTCTGTTCAATGAAACATGAAATAATAAAATCACTCACTTCAATTATTACTGTCCATTTCTGGTAAATTTTCGATCAAATCGTAGATTAATGTTTTTTTTTATGTTCTGGTTTCCACGAAAAGGGATATCTTGTGATGTTCAGAGAACATCGTG